TATATATATATATATATATATATATATATATATATATATATATATCATTCTCCTTTAATTTTCGATTCTTCTTCACGTTAGTGTCAACTGAAGGTTGAAAATCTCATGAAAATCGATTGCCTTCTCAGGTTTTTTAAATAGAGGACTACGTAGTAGGCGAGATTATTTAAAAATCTTTGAAACGCAACAGCACGCAATTTAAACTGTTCAGGAAAACGTTCCATACCACGAACGGGATTCTGTCACTGAGCTTGCGATACCACATATACGTAATTATACATATACAAATAATAAGCGTATGTCTGGGAGGTTTTACCTGGTAAAAAGAGCTTTTCACTTTGAAAGCGAGAGTTCTTTATACAGGGAAAAGGGCGAGATTTCTCTCGTGATCCCTTTATAGTCCTTTACGTATTATCTTTCCCATTTCTGTCTCTGCAATAAAGAACGAAAATACTTCTCTTCTTTTTCTTCCTCTAGGAACAGATTAATTAACGATGCGGTGTTTGGATAGTTAGATTTTACTTACTTACTACTCCAAGTCCAAACGTTTTCTTTTCTTTTCTTTTTTTTTTTTTTTTCTTTTTTCTTTCGCAAATTACCAGAGTAATGGTATGTGCTAGATTATCTTACGGATTATAAGCATATGTATACACATGTAAAAAAACAAAAAACAAAAAAAAGGAAAGAATATTCTCGTATTCTTTTTGGAGAATAAAAAAAAAAAAATATCGTTAAAGGAAATATAAGCAACCATCAATCGTAAGTGCAACTCTGCTCGATACTGTCACAATACTTCGAGCGAAAGGGACAAAGAATTAAGTCGATTGTTAATCGAAAGGTTGTGTTTTTATTTAACATGAATCAATGATAATGCCAATAAATGTATTTACAAGACCTTGATCTATTTCCACAGAATTCCAGCGATTACTCTCTTCCCGTGTTTTATATCTTTCTATCTTCCGAAGTAAAGATAACTTAACATTACACACACACGCACACACGTACACACACGTACACACACACAGACAATGTATTCGCTAGTCAGATGAGAATATTCAGGTGAAGAAATGATGGTAAATATAATTATATATTTACTCGTACAAAAAAGTTGAAATATACTGATATTCTTGTAAAAAATACATTCCATCGTTCCATCGATGAGAAATAATTTATGAAGGCTTATGCGCATTAATATTAAATATTATATTATAATGTTTCGTGTGCTATTACAAGCTACTGACTATTCCTTTATACATTTGATATACGCTTTGTTGCAATTTTTCTCATTCGTGTAATTATGAAAATCGTTTCGTTTGTCAAAAATCGTTTTTAATTCCATTTTTCCGTATATACATAGTGGATTGAAACATATACGCAGTAATGCCAATTTGTCGTTTATTGCCTATGATTTTACATAGCGTCGATTTCAATTTGTACACAGTGAAACGTCGATTATCAAAATTCAGGATACATCGTGTATTTATCGAGAGCCATTTATGCTTTGCTAAAGCACACAGTCACATTACATTTTTCAATAACAATGAAATCTAAATCAAAACCAATAAATTAGAACGTTTCTATTTTCGTTTCTTTTTCAAACGAAGAGAGAATGTCAAAATGGATGAAAGTTCAGGAAGAAATAAATGCTCTCCGAGTATTTAGAATATTTAGACATTTAGCTATACTTCGTTCGTTTCTTATATTTCGCGATGAAGGTATACGGCCTTTTGCATAATAAAAATTGCATTGCTGCTGTGTATCGGTCGACGGTCACTTCACTCTGAATTGCACGAGACGTTTCGAATCGCTAATACGATTGTTTCAGATAAAGATACTCTAATCAATTAGAAAGAACTTCGTTACATGGCAGCGCGTGCATATATAAACTAACGTACAAAAGTGTCCGCTTCACTGAAGCGGAACGTATTTTGTTCATTGTTAACTTATAACATAAAATTCTTAAAATCGAGAGATTAGCTTCGTGATAGAAATAACGTTAAAACGAAATAATATTATCAACAATATTTGTTCTTTTTTTTTTTTGTCGTATTTCAGCCTTAATTGTATCGAGTTACACATTATCAGTAACGTATGTGACGGGTAACGGTTAATCAGAAAACAGAAGAAAAGAAAAAATACCCAAAGTACCATGGTCCCGAAACGATCGTAATCGAAGAAGTCGCAAGGGCAGAACATTTGATTATCTTTGACTAAATTTCCAGAGTGTCTATACATAGTCGCCAGCAAGGGCTTGAGCGTAAGTTTCATCACGACGAAGCACAAATCCATAATTATTCGATCGGTCTGGTCGATCGAATGTGGTACACGTGGTGGAGAGTATCTGTTCATTTTAATTTAATTTAACAAAACGATACTCTGCCCGATACGCGTCGACGTACGGAATTGTGCTTGCGACATTCTGTAGCCTCTAGGATACCTGCAACCAGGCGCGACCAAGAGTACCGGTTTGTGCGACATCCAACGGATTAAACGTAAATCGGTCAGAAAATAAATATGAAATAAACAACTAACGAGTCGAAATCACCAGAACGAACGCTTTTGCTGTTCGCAAAAGATTTCGGCAACTAGTTTCTTGAGCAATCCCGTATCGTCGAAATAACTTAAAAAAAAAAAAAAAAAAAAAAAAAAAAAACAGTGCGTGTCTATATTCGTAACTCATTCCGTGATTCGATCGAGAATAATTTAACGCTATGATAAACAGTGAAACCAGTCTCTGGGAAGAAACGATACCGCTCGATACGAAGGTTCTCTGCGCAAAGGTAGAGCCGATCGACAGCAGATCTTTCGAAAAAATGCTACGACCGTTTTTTTATCCTTTTTTTTTTTTTCTTTTTCTCATCTATGAATAAAAGCACGTCCTGGTCGACTTTTTCGGCGTATTTTGTTCCTCGTTGCAATACGCCGCGGCTTTCCTAGCTTTTCCTGAGAACGGTCTTAGGCGTAGACAGAGGTAGGTGGAAAGTATACACGAAAAGAGCAACACGGTGAGAAGCACTATGAGAGTAACGACGAAACCTGGTGTAGTCATGCAGATCATAGCTGCGCTCGCGCTCGTGTTCTCGTTACGTACGGGGAAGATCATCGTCGAACCGCTCGGTTCCCCGTTGTTCGACTCGTCGATGGAGAAGGTCAGGTCACCGGTAGAAACGACGCGTATTATGCGATTGACACCGACCGCCTTCTGTGGTGTCGGCATTATCTCTCGCGACTTTCGTCGTCTCTCGTCGCGAGGACGTCCCGCAGCCGCCTGCAAATACGCTTCCAAGGGTAGCGGAATAGGCGGCGGAAGACCGTAGCCGGAATCCGGATGTCCGCTCGACGGTGGATGATGATTCTCCAAGAGACCCTGCGACTCCAGCAACAACGGAGACTCGGAGCATTGCTCGGGACATTGGTATC